GTGGGGCCGCGAGGCGCAGCCCGGGGGGCGGCCGGAAGAGGGCGAGGGCAGCGGGGCAGAGGGGGACAGGGCAGTCCCTCCGCTCCTGGTGTCCTCTTGGAGGGTGGCAGGTGCCTCTGCCGGGTGGGCACACAGGTGCCCTGTCTCATTCCCTCGGGTCTGGGGACACACACACACTCTTCTGTCCCTCGCTAGTCTGGACACACACACACTCTGGTCTAGGGATGCCCACACTCACTGTGGACACCTCCCCCCTCCCCCCCCCCCAAACCCCCCACACCCCCCCCCCCATGGCCCACTGCCACTGCCTCCAGAAACCCCACCACCTTCTCCTTGCTACCTCGCTCCAGGCATTTGCAAAGCCAGGACAGCGGTTTTCAACCTTTTTTCATCTGCAGACCCCTAAAAAAATTTTCAAATGGAGGTGTGGACTTCTATGAATTGCAAGGGTGGGTATTCATATACCTTTGATCGTAGTTATCTTTTATACACCCCTTAGATATGGCCAGGACCCCAGGGGTCCACGGACCACAGGTTGAAAATCACTGAACTAGGGGGAAGGCTCCCAGGGCTCTGAACTTCCCTTAAAAGCAGCCTTCTCTTCAGGCCAGACACAGGCACCATCCAGATGAGCTGTGCGGCGGTTGGACTGCAGCCTGCACATGGCCCTGTTTAGTCGAAGCAGTGTTTGTTTGCTTTTGAAATGCCACAAAGTTTAATCCCCCAGTTGTCAGGGTCCCTTACAAGTAAATCCAGGAAGGAAACCAAAGGTGAAACTGAAGAAGAGAAATGGGGTCCCCCCAGGGGAAGAGGAGACAAGATTTTTCTGAATTTCAAAAGAGCAACACATGAAGGCAGTGGTTTTACCGCCCTCTGTAACCCAATACTACAAATCAAAGAAACACCTGAAACATGAAAAAGCTTCACCTCTGCTACCAACTTGCTTACACAGAGGGCTGTGGAAACCCACTGGCCTGAGCAGGAAAGACATCACCCAAGAGGCAATTGAGAACAACACTGCTTTCAGCCCAGACACAGATCACCAGTGCAGCAATGAAGATTAGATATAAATAATAGATCAGTATCTTGAGGGTACTGGGAGATTTAATTTGTTTGTGTTTATAAAGTGCCTCTGCATCTTTGGGGGGAAAACATTCAAAGAAGTGTTTGTCGATACAGACTATGCACTTGAGAGTTTTAAAGTACATTTTTATCTGTGTGCAGGTTATTTAAGAAACTGTTGATTACATCAGTTTTGAACAGGTAATAACAAATTTGAGGTTCTGCCTTGAACAAATATATTAGAGAGCAAGAAAGTCTTGGTTTCTGCTCTCCTATTCCATTCAACTGACATGAGAGCAAAACAAGACCACCCCTCATCTATAAGTCTTTCCTTCGTTCAGTTTTTATTAAGATAAAATAAAGGATGTTTGCTTTCCTTATTTTGGAAATTCTAGCTGACTAAAATTAAAGAGGCACTTCACATCCTAGACTAACTTTAGAAACCCACTTTAAACAGTCCTTGCAGGGCAACAGTCATTTTGTGCACGATGTCATGGGCAGATTGACCTGCAGCAAAAATGGCAAACTGGCAAAATTTTACCTTTAAATATATTAGACATGAAAGATTAACAGACTATTCAGTTTGACTGTTAGGGGCTCTTGATGATTTAATTTGAGAATTACTTTTGTCATAGGAGACAGTAAGGAAAGAAAGCTTAAGGACAATTTAAGGCTTCTGATTTGATCTTGTATACTGGAGATGGGATGAGCCATAGCTGATCTGAACAATTCCTACTTTTCTAACAGAGGCCATTTCTAGAGAGTACAAATTCCCCTGCACCAGAAGGGTGATTAAACAAGCTTTCTGCCAAGAAGCTAAAGAAATCTCTGTACACCTAGTTAGCCTAATCTCTGCCTTGCATTCATAGCCAGCACTAGAGAGAGGGAAA